GGGTAAAAGGTGGGTTTTGGAGCCCGCTTGAGAATAGACATGCCGTAAAACTCAAAGGCTTTGCGCGGGTAAAGCTTTGGGATCAGTACCTCCGAAAGCGGGAGCTAAAGGGGATTTCAATGGGTAAGGGGCGATGCATGTATACAGAAGCCGCTAAACACCTTGAATTCGGGTTTGACTAAACCTTAAATTAGGGTTCAGCTAAACCCTATGTTAGGGTTTGGCTAAACCCTGTATGAGGACTTAGGTAAGCCCTAAATTGAGGTTTAGTTAAACCCTAAATGGCTAAACCCCAATTTAGGGTTTAGCTAAACCCTAATTTAGAGTTTAGCCAAACCCTAAATTAGGGTTTAGTTAAACCCCAAAGTAGGGTTTAGCTAAACCCTGAATTAGGGTTTGGCTAATCCCAAAATTAGGGTTTAGCTAAACCCTAAATTAGGGTTTAGGTAAACCCTAAACTCGGGTTTAGCTAAACCCTAATCTAGGGTTTAGCCAAACCCTAATCCAAGGTTTAGCTACGCATTACATTTATGAGGACATCACAAAGAAGTTTGAGCAAATGGATGCAACACTACCACAGCATGGTTTTAATAAATTGAAGCAAGGAGGTTTAAGTAGAAGTGAAACCGGTCCACCCAAAACCGCTAGATCTTCTGACCCCTCAGGGGGCCCGACGAATGTTTGAAACACAAAACGTATCCCCGCTTTGGAGGAGTCAGCTTGCGCGCATGCTTCCTTTTGTGCATTTCAGACATGTCAGTTGTACAGCCATGCAACATGTTGTGGTATTTTCAGTCTGCCCGGTTTCAGATTTACCACACATGTTGTTTTCCCTTTTTCGGTGAAACCATGATTTTCCATTCGACTCTTGAGTTTTCAGGGTTTTATGAATATGTGTTTTCTCCGGGCATATATGGGCCCAAATCCAACGGGAGGTGGAGGCTCACGCCTTTCGGTGCGTTGTGGAAGTCCCACCCATCCCACGCTTGTGACATGTGCCATGTTCAGCATCGCATACCGAAGATGCTGGGCTGTGCGATCCGAAGCAATTGAGTGCTCGCATTATTTGCCGATATCACGCGTTTAGACATTCACAGGTTCCCCCCTCTTCCCCAAATGTTTGCGCATTCCATTGGAATCCTTGGTTGGGCTTTTGGGGTACAAACCTTTTTGTCTCGCAACATTCCACTTTCGTTATTGGTCGATGGCGATTTTTCGCAAACATGGAAAGTAAAAACTTGCGACAAAGTTTGCAGGCAAAAATATTTATAAACAGTTTCAGCTCGATTTTTTATCAAAAATTCGTCGGCAAAATTATTTATAAACAATTTAGATCGAAACTTGCCCACAAAAAATTCACAGGCCGAATTGTTTGTACATAGTTTCAGCTGGAAAATTTTCCACAAAGAAAATTGCAGGCACAATTATTTACGAATCATTTCAGCTGGAAATTTTTCCAACAAAACTTTGCAAGCAAAACTATTTATGAAAAAATGGAAACTTTCCCACAGCAGGCCAAACTATTTATAAACAATTTCATTTGGAAGATTTTGCCACAACATTTTGCAGGCAAAAATATCTATGAATAACATTGCTTGCAAATTTGTTGGAGAAGAAAATTCCGCTGTATTTATTTATGCATAATTCGGCCTGCACATTTTCTTATGGGAAAATTTTCTAATTGAAATTATTTTTAGATAGTTCTGCCTGTAATATTTTTTGAGGAAAATTTCCAGCAAAAAGTCATCAACAATTTTGACTGCAATTTTTTTCGCCAAATTTGTTCTTGAAGAAAGCAATTGGCGGAAATAAATTGCAGGCATATCTATTTACAAATAACATTGCCCGCAATTTTTTTGGCCGAAAAAAATCCAGCTGAAATTTTTGATAAGTAATTCGGCCTGCGAAATATTTTTTTGAAAAACAATCCAGCTGAAATTATCGGGGGCGTGGCATCCTAGCATTGTCTCACTTGGGTTCGGGTTACACGACACATGTGGGGTTCTCCGATGCTTTAATTTCCGTGTTTTCAGCGTTTTGTGAGTGCACGCATTTCATTTGTATTTGGGCTCATGTTGTGACATGTCTTTGTTGCATGGCAGTTTTGTGGCTCGACTGCGAGCGTAGAAATTTTCGTTTGTCCCGCCCACCCGCCCTGGGTTGGGGTTGGCCACTCGTGCCGAATGCGGCAATAACGAATAGGGATACGAGGGTGTGCCGCCATCCCGATGTGTGCTATGTGGCATGCGCATTTGACAAGAAAACTCCAGTCCCCATTGCTGCAAAAAGAAAAGGTCCGCGTTGTCCTGTGCTGAGCTGACTGTAATGACATATTTATATGTATATTTGGTGGAGCCACGTTTGTTGGGCGGGAGTTTTGTGAAGTTTTTTTCTATTTGATGTGCCCAGTCATTGGGGTGCCTTCCAGAAAACTTTGGAAATAATGCGTTCTTTTGCAGCTTGTTGTGGTAGGTCTTGAACAGGCGCAGTGCAACCATTCAGAACGCAATTATCCTGTTCATCCAACTTCAAAAGATCACCAGTGACTTTCCAAGGTCGCCGTTTGACGACCGGCCGTTGCCCAACACGTGCTTGAAGTGGGGAAGTACAGTTGGTACAGTTGAACCCCGTCCTGCCTGCGCTTTCGAGACTGGTGCAGGATAAGGGGTTCGCATGTTGTGTCCCCATTTGGGCTGAATCGTCCAACTTGGTAGAGGAGAGTGTTTTGCCCGAATGATTGCATCAGTACATGTTGTCAGCTGCCTGTGAGTAGATTTGATTTCCATACCCAGTATGGGAACTTGTGAGATTGAGCGTTCAAGATATACATCATATGCGTGAATAACTTTGAGAATGCAGTGTAGGTAGAAGCAATTTCAGAATGCGTTGTCGCAATTTTACGGCCTGTTGCACTGATTTGAAAAAATGTGGAAAAATTGACAGCAGCTTTTTGGAATTCTGTTGTTTCACACGTGCAAATATTTCATGTGAATCATTTGCGATGCCTTCAAACGTTTTCTCTGGGAGGGGAGCGGACAGGACGGGACGGAAGTGGAGGGGAGAGAAGGGAGGCACAGGATCTTGGGAGCGAAAAACCCACCCAACCCACCTTCGCCATTTTGCAGGATAAGGGATTGGCGTGATTTGTCCGCGTTTGGCCTGAACTATCAAGCTTGGACAAAAAGAGTGTTTCGCCCGAATGATTGCATCAGTGCATGTTGTCAGCTGCGAACCATAATATAACCCCTTGTTTGTAAAACTAGTTGCGTCCGGCTTTCAGTTCTAGACAGCTCTTTGTCTTCTCAGTTGGCATTTTGTTTTGAGCTTGAGGAAAACTTGACATGCCATTCTTGGTTGCGGGTTCAATACACGGGCCTACCACAGGTTGGATCTTGTGGACTTGTCATTGGCTTTAAAAACCAAAGGAAAAAAGAGGGTCGGTACATAGCTTTTGGTCCAAGGTGCTCTCCGATTGCTGTCCAAAGTGCTGCTCACCCTTTTGTCCAAGGTGCTGTCCGGGGTTGTTGTAAGAAAATACAAACAGCAAGCAGTTGCCAGCTCAGGGTGCAATTGCCGGGGCTGACAGATTCGAGGAGAAAATTGACCCGTGTGCTTTTGTGCTTCATTTTTCTGCAGTTTTTCTTGGCTTCAGCGAGCCTGGAGTTCAAGCACGTCGCATGCCTTAATATGGGCCAAAGCGAAGCGCTTAGCAGCTTAACAATTGATTTTGATCACGATCAGATTGTTGTTCTCTGCTGTTGCGGAGGTCTGGATGTGCTCAGAACTTGTGATGGAAGTGATGGACATGATGCGTGCATCCCGGCAGTGCCGCTTGTCGATTTCCTATGTCAATCTTGGACGTGTCCTGAGGCTAAAATGAAGCCAACTACCAACGCCACCAGAGGCGATGCGAAACAAGTCAATGTGTGCGTAGTGCAAAAGATAGACCGCGGTCAGTGAGCTGTAGCCCAGGTTCGCCAACATGGGATGATGATGTGGTAGTGAATTGTGCGGCGTTGGAGGTTGCGTGTAAAGGGAAGAAGACCTCATACGCGTGGAGTGGCCTGGTAGATGGTGTTGGAAATGCCAGGAAGGCGTGAAAAGCGTTGTGGCATCTGCAAATCGTGGAGGGGCCCGTATCAGTGATGAGGCTGCAAACTTGGGTGCTTGTTTTAGTTTCTAACATGAGCGTTCTTCAATTTACACGAAGGTCTTGCTGAATCATGAACTTCTGCAGTATGCTCGCCAGGCATTTGCAAAGTTGGTTTATCAGATTGCGTAGTGCATTCTCTCCCCCATTCCGCAGGGCAACCTTCGGGGTGTCAGCGAAGCGCTGGACAAAGGTGCATGGACAGAAACGCGACGGCCATTGGCAGGACTTCCCAGGTTTGATATGTGAATTTTGTGTGTTAGTGTGTTTGCGCGCACTATAGAACGTGGGATAATAATGAGGTCATGAAACCGCAAAAGCCCGATGCTGGAAAGAGAGGAAACGGTCTGCGTCTGAGCGGATCTCCTACTGTGCAGCGCTGTTATGAGCCTGAAGAGGTAGCTTGATTTGTGGCAGGACAGGGTGACTTGTCAGCCTAGAGCGACAGTTGACACTGTGGGTTTCAATTCAGGATTGTTGAAAGTTGTTCTAGCGTGAGCCGTTAACCGGTCCTCCAGTTTGGTTGTGTGCCTCATCCAGCTGGTGTCCTTCCGTGCCAAAACCGATTCATCAAGCAGCAAGTCGCAAGGACATACTCAAGGCATTAGGGTAGCCATCCCGGTTATGCAGGGCGACCCTTGCCTAGGCGACGAGCCAGCTGTGGTTGGCATGACGCCGATCATGCCAAATCCCCAGGACTTCCTCAAAGAGCGCTGAACTGAACAAGTGTGCCCAAGGTTTGCTGCACAGAAAGGCTTGTGCCCAAGCCAGAACTGATAGTTGATGTTACTTCGCAAGGGATGCACGTGCCCTCCCTGTTGCAGTGAGCTGTCCCAGACGATCCATAGTTCAAAGCGGTGTTGGCTCATTGGGGAACCAGATTTCTCAACGAGCATCAAGGCCTTTTGACCAGCCCTGTGAGGTTCGGTAGATTGTGTGAAACGATTGCTACAAGCTCGCGCAGAAGTCAATGCTGTCCCAAGCTAAGTCAGCATGTACAGTCTTCAACAAACATGTAGTTCAACAAGCCTTGCTTGTGGACAGGTCGAGGAGGACGGTTGGAGTGCTCTGCATTTTGCCTGCAAGGAGGGCAACTTGCAAGTCCGCGCCTGAAGAAGCTCCGTTTGACATCAGCCATATTGACTCGTGGGTTTGTGCGGTCTGTAATTAATGGTGGCATCCAGGTGTGTCAGTCGCTGCTGGAGTGCAAAGCAGATCCAGCGCCGGAAGCTTAGAAAGGAAACTCAAAGAATGGTATTCAATATTCCAGACCTCAATCAAAAGCAGAGTCGTTTGAATAGATTGAAGCAGCTGAATGAACAAAACAACAGGGAGTTCTGAAGCTGAGTCACTCAGGCTCATGAACATTGACGAGCAGAGGCCGGAAGATGTTGCAGATGAGGACTGTCGCTTGGAAAGGTCAGGAAAGGATGATTAACACGTCTAGCAACTTGGAGAGCAAGATGTGTGTCTTTTTGTGGTTTCCGTGTCTTTGTTTGGTTCGCTTGTGTCTTCTAGTTGATGCTTGTGTGCTTCCCCATCATCCCCATCAGCATTGCCAGCATGCAAGTTTGGCTTTGGAATGCTGAGTGGCCTAGCCTGAAAAATGAGTGACAACTCTTAGATTACAGTTCCATTAAAGCCCAGTCACATTCAGTCCATGCTGGCAGCACCTGCCTGCCCATCTTCTGATGACCCATATGCCCAAGCAGCAGTTACGTCTAGATCCTGCATCCATTTCCTTATCTTTCAGCGGACAAAGGATTCAGGCGAACCCGAGACCCCACAGGCTTGCCCATACCCCTCAACTGTGACCCCGAAAGCTTTAAAGCCCTAAACCTGAAAACCTTCAGACACTAAAACACCGCAACCTGAAACCTTGCCAAGAACCCCAGCTGCATGGAATTCCACGCTGAAGCGCCGACTTTCTGAACCTCCCGAATCACAAGTGCCCTCAACTTGTCAACCCAAGAGAGAAAGCTTGAAATGCTTGAGCTGCATATTTCGCAAGCCTCCAAACCCGTGAATCCCATGACCATGAAATTCAAAGAGCGTGGAGAAAGCGTCAAGCTAAGCCGCAGTTTTTGTTTGTGTTGCTGGCAGAATTTGGGGTAGGCTTTGCCACCATTCGTGCCCTGACAAACTCCTTGAACTCTGGCCTTTGATTTTCTTCCTGGAGGAGCGATGGTGAAGTTCATGCAGCCACAATGAATCCAATGTGTCTCGTATTTCTACGTGAGCTCTCATTGGCGTCATAGACGCATACGGTCTATTTGGAGGGGTAAAAGCTTGACAGCAGGCGTTGTTCATAGTACGCTTTTTCCAAAGGCCTTTCCACATATGCTTGCCATGGAAGCTTGGCTGCTGAGCTGACAAGACAGAACCTTGGACGTTAAGCTGTTCACTGTGAATCTTTCAAATCCTAACCAATTCAACTCCTGAAGCCTGAAATCCATACAGCTGGAAACCCCAATGAAATCCCAAACCCTGATCCTAAAACAATCCCCCAAACCCTCAAAGCCAATAAGCCCTGCATAGAACATGTGGACCCCTAGCCGCAAGCCTCACTTTATGCAGCCTGAAGGCTCCACGAGAAAGCGTGTTATCATCCAAAAACGCAAGCAAAATTTGCAGCACCTTTTTTCTCCACAATCCACGTGGACAGGCGATATGAACCAAAGAAAGTGCGTCACATCAAAGACATGAAAAAACGGGCAGACAAGTGTTTTGGGAGTCATTGTCTGGTGTGAAGTATGAAGCACCTTGCATTTTTGCCTGGGCAGGAGATGTCCTTCAAAGAAAGGTTCAGATTACTTTGCAAGGACAAGCGCCATGGGTGCGACTTTAGACAGCAAAGCTGAGTTTGTGTGTGGCAAGGAGGCCGCTTCTACCTGATGCTGCCTTCTGATGCTTGCTGGCTCTTGTGGGAAGATGGCCCTGATGACCTTCTTCAAACTGGTCCAGCAAAGAAATCGTAGTCAAAGCCTGTAGATTTGTACGAGCTATCGATATGGCATCATTCTAGGCAGAGATGCTAGCAACCGTGTCTCACTTATGGCCACTTTGGCATCCTGCTGCATGGCTTCTGAGAAGTACTACATAAAGACCTCGGTCTTGTTCGCAAAGGCATCGGCAGCCTGTCAGCGTTGTCCTGTTCAGCTTGTGAAGTGTGCAAGCATTCGGCGAAAAGTGGACAACGAAGTTGGGGTGCTCAGCTCGTTGGAACACAAGAGACCAGCAGATTGTGAGCAGACGCCGTGCCTGTCTGTTTCAGTGTGCCGGACAAGTCTCAACCAGAACATCATGATTGCTTGTTCGCTTTGGTTGTTTCAGCAGGATGCTTTTCAATTACGTTTTGCGAGTTGCGGAATGTTTGTGTAACCTTGTGGACATGGAGGGCTTTTCACAGCATATGGGCCTAATGGACTACTTGCCGAGGCAGGTCTTATGCTCAAATACGAGCGTTTGATCGTCACTGCATACTTGGCAGGTCGCGTGATCAGCTGGCGCCCAAGTTGGTGGCTTTGGCAATTCTGTGGTGCAGGTTCGAGGTATGCCAGTCCTCGCAAGACAGATGCCAAGCCTTCGTGAAGCATTCCCAGGGCGAATTCATCGCCGAGTCAGCAAATTCCCGAGGCATTTGTCATTGACATGTCAGTTTACATTTGCCAACACGTCGACGGTGAGTTCGAGTGATGCGAGAGTCCATACCAGCAAGAATGCTTAGGTCCTAGGTGTACGTCAGTCACGAAGTGTCCAGAGGTCGTTGTACTTGGTCTTTTTTATTGTCGAAATGGTCGGCAAAGAGTTTGCCATTTTGGCTGGGGGGTCTTGGGGCCAGGAAGAGGGAACCGGGTGCATGACAAGCACTCGCTTGATGAAGATACTAGTGTTCTGTTCCCATGGCCTTCCTGGCAAGTCTGAAGTTGAGTGTCATGCGTCATTGGCCTAGGGGCTAGGGGCTTAAAGGCATTATTGCGCTCCCGCGCTTATTTAAGTTGTTGTGCTGAGTGCCAGTGAGCTGACCAGATTTATATCGGCTTCGCGTCTGTTCCAGGAAGCATTCGTTATTTTTCCTGGTCTCTAGGAGGCGGTGGATAGCGCCACCGCTCTTTTAACCTGCACTTGGTTTAGTAAAGCGACCCCACCTTCCGATGTCACATCAGATACACATCAGTCCTCATTTGGAAGGTGATATCACCAATGGCCGGACAGATCTCGCTGTTTGGCAGCTATGCTTCTGAAGGCTTCTTGCCTGGAAGCCAACATCTTTTCAGAGCCAGGCTGCCAGGCTTCTAACGTCAATGTCCGTCAGTCACGTGTGTGCCCCGTCTCAGGCCCTGCAAAGCTTGACGTCTCAATGGATCGCCAGGATGAGGCCTGCACTGCAAGAGTTGGATGCCCTAGCCTTGCAGACGGCAGACGCGGCATTTCGAGTCAAGGTGCTCGACTGCAGACTTGAGCATGCTGCGCTTGTGGTTTCCCACTTACCCAGAGTGCATTAATGGGCATTTGTCTTCATATATATCTATACATACACGCATACACGACTTTCCAGCGTGGATGAGGCCAGGCAGCTGCGCCTTCAAGCGGCAGAGCAAGAGGCCAGACTAGAGGCTTTGGCTTTCCATTCTGCAACAGACTGCGCAGGCAAGCAGGGAGGCGATTACGGTGCAGCTTAGGTCAGGACCAAAGTTGGCCAGACCTGGCAAGTTTAATGAAACTCTGTTCAGTGGGAGGTTAGCAGCTTTGCGGGAAGAGGCGCTTTTCGGGCCGGCACAAGTGCAAGCTGCTAACTCCTGTAGCTGAGCAGAATCCAGATCCACCTCCATTCAACCCTTCATGGATTTTTGCTGCGACGTTCCAGCCTCTAGCCTGATCGGGAGCCGACGTCTCATCTGATGCATGGACAGCCGCTGCATGCTGACAGTCGCAGATCCTGTTGAACTCTTTTGTATTCATTGCACGCCAAGCTGTGAGCTTAATGATGATAAGGATGAGATACCTTGGAATCTTCATGTTGCCCATCGCAGGTTCTGCAGGAGCAGAAGCGGTTGAATCCCAAGGATTTCACAGCTTGTGGATTACTCTAACAGTAACGGCGGCCTAGGCAGGAGTTTCTGCAAGCAGCCTTGCAACGTGCAGGCATCTTAGCATCAGATCTCTCCAGGTCTCAGCTTCTTTTGATCCTGCAAGGCCCAAGCTGGCGGCGCCGCATTGCAAATGGCATCGGCCATGACATGTCAACGCTTGAAGCTCGGTGGTCTTCTGCAGGCCTTGGCTGGAAATCGGCAATTTGCAGTGTGATCAATGAGGGAAGCAATACTATGCCCGCGGTGCATCGTTCGAACGCTCAAAATGCAAATTCCAAATTCAGAGCAAAAGCGCAAGGCTGCCTGGGTAGGAGGAGTTGAAGCAGGACCGGGATAAGGAGTAGGAGGATGGGTCCTGGCTAAGCGGCTATGCTGTACATCATTGCGGCACGGTCTGGATTCGTAGATATCGCCCGTTATCGTTGCGCTCGGCTTCCAGTTGATAAGCTGTTGATCGCCTTCTCTGTCTGTCTAGGCATAACATAGGACGATCTTGTGGCTACTGCTTCTCATGTTTCACTGTGCCTTGCTGCTGCCATTTTTTGCGTTGGTGCTTGTAAGATCTGGGCTGCTCTTTGAAGGACAGCTGCTGTATTCCATCCAAAAACGGGTTTCGGTATGAGGCAGCCGAATCGATTCGAGCCACCAATCAGGTTGGTAGCAATCCAGAATTTGTAGCTCCAAACCAAGAGCACCAGTCTTTGACAGTATGACAGTGCCACATTCGAGTTTGGGCGGCCCACGCAGCACCGCACACCTCACCCCGCTACATCTGCGTTCTCAGACATGCCCTTTGCGCGGCACGTGGCAAACCTCGCGGTTTACGGATGCTGGCTGTGCCTTTCCCAGTCCAGCTGTCCTGCTCGGCTTGGCTGTCTCGTTGGAGAGCCGATCGGGGAGCGGTGCCATGCTTCTCTGAAGCGCCGTGTTTGAGAACATCTAATGAGGATTTTCCATTTGGATCTGATGCTCTGTGAAGTACCTTTGCATGAACTTCTTCTGTTTTCTTGATACGGGCACAGCAAATGAAATGCACCAATGCCTTGGGTCCATGTCTGTTGGCTGCTTCAGCCCACACAAGCGCTCGCCCAGATGTTGCTTGCAAGCCTTTTTCCCCTGGTCCTGCAGGCAAACGCTGTTGCAACAAATTTTTGCTGCACGGCTTGATTTCTCGGTCAGTACGACATTGCGAAAGACGGACGCTAGCAATATCTTCGCCACCTCTGCAGTTTTAGGCCGAACTTGACGATTGCAAATAGTAGTTGATGCTCCTGTCCTGCGGTTTGAACGGGGTCTTCCCGGCAGATTCTGGCACTTGGAGTGTCACTTGCCATCCAGTTCATGATGAACCATGTGTTCCTGCAAATCCTGTGACGATTCTTGCCCGCATTTTCTACACTGTAAGGCATTAGGAGCTTGCACGTCAAAATGTGCCGCGCTGCCTTCCCCCCGCACCGTGGTGCCGCCAACGATTTTTTGATGTGACGTCTGTTCACTTGCAGGTTGGAATATGAGACTCCACACCGCACCATGGGCATTCATTGATTGGTGACTGCTAGCCCGTGTTCTGGGGCAACAAGACCCTGATTTGGAGCCTGCCGCTCGTGTGTTTGCAGAGCTCTGACAAGGAGGGTTGCTCAGCCGACATCTGTTTGCTTGCAGCCACAGGTTATGGCTTACAGAGACAAGCAAGGTAAAGGGATACAGTGACAAGAATGCGAGAAGAGCGACAGAAGGAGTTCACATTTGCACGGAACCGTTCACTCCATGAGCAGTCTTGCAATGTGGCCCCGAATCACCGGTTGTTGGCTTCCGTTGGAAAGGCGTCATCACAAGCCGGGGTAGAATGCGCCGAACCCCAAGCTTTGCTTGACCACGTGCGCGACTATGCGTTTAGCGCTTCCCAAACCCGAAACCTGCAAAAAGGGGATACTGCTTGCTCAGGATGCCCCGAACCCCAATCCTAATTCCGTCCTAAACCCTGAATCCTAAATCCTTACCACCAAAAGCAAAGTATGCAGGAATTGGAATTGTCCTTTTCTATACACAAGGGTGGTTTGTGTTCTGGATACAGCCATCCCTTAGTTGCGTGCGGACGTTGTCGTAAGCAAGGCTACCCTATTGTTGGCCTGTCGAAGACGGACCGTAAGGCGTGACCATCACCTTTCCGTTTCTTTTTTTTTTGCGTTCGGTCTGGCACGCGTTTTGCCATGTGTTCCGAGTTTGGCGCTCGATGGCAGCGACCCCTCTCTTAGTTTGGGGCTTAGGATACTTAAGGGTTTCGGGTAGAGTTTGGGATGTTCGGGTTTTCAAGGTTTTGGGTTGTCTAGGTTCTGAGCTTTTTGGGGTTGAGTCGCTTCACATTTTTAAAAAGAAAAGGAAAGAACTCAAAGAAGGATACAAATCAACCCGTTTTCTTTCTTCATTCCTCTTCTCGTACTCTGATTATGTTCTTCACTCACTTGCTTATGTTCATGCATTTTTTCCTGTTCACTTCTTCATTCAATAAAGTTGTTCCTTCAGTTAAAAGAGTGAGTGTGACGGGTCAAACAAATTTAAGAATGAACTGGGTGAGATAATTCATTCGTCTCACGTCTATGAACCTAAGCTGATAGGGTTCGACTATTGCTTAGACCTTAGCTACCTTTCAACGCGGTTCCCGGCACGGACCCCATTGGCTTACGATTCTTCTGCTCCTGTAAATAAGTGTCACTCGCTGGCTTTGTTCCTGGCCCCCAGCCCTGCTCGTTTCTGACTTCTGCTGAGCTGGTTCCTGGCTTTTGCGGCTTATTCGCCTCCAACCCGACGGCACGACGCCTGTGCATGTGACAATTTTTGCCGCGCACAATGCCTTTCCAAGTGCACGCGTCATGCATTGTGTCAGTTACGTTCCCATGGCAGTGTTTTCCATGCCCAGGCCAAGAGGCAGCTTTGGGGGCAGGTGGCCGAGTTTTGGCATGTCGTCCTCAGCCGGTGGTTTTGTGTTCTGAAGCAAGGCCCGGAGTCAACTTCTTGCAGGGAAGCCTCTGGTGTCATCTTTGGAGTGTCAGGCACGGGGCGTCTTGCAGACTGAAGCATGGGTTCTCCAATGTCCCAGGAGCGCCAGATGCGAGCCGCAAAGGCTGAAGCCAAGAAGGTAAAAACGGTGTTGAGTCTTAAGATTCCTACCTGCACCAAAAAAATTGCATGATTACTGTCTGATCTTCTGGAAGCTTCGAGCCTTGGACCATCTCTACTCACCAGGAAAAGCCACCCCAAATGGATCAGGTTGGTGGCAAAACAAATAACAACGAAAGCAGGCCGTTCCTCTGACCTCTGGCAGGGATGATGGTCTGTGACTTAAATGTGAAGCAGAACATGCAACATGCGAGCCTCCTGCCAATCAGTGCCCTCGAGGCCCCAATGACGAGATAAGGTGTGCTCGAACCAAGTTGTGTTCAGATTGCGAGCCAGTAGTCCCAGCCGGAGGCTTCTGCGAGTGGAGCTACAAGAGATCCGATCAGAGCTGGCGGCTGAGCAGGCTTGGGCTCATGCGCGGCAGTCTGGGCAAGTTATCGCAGTCACTGACAGGAGCGTGGAGCGCAGATCAGCTTGCCAGACCTGCAGCAATTGCAAGATGGGTTTAAGACGGATTCGATTAAGGCAATTGAGACCAAGGCAAACGCAGGCGCTGGAAGCCCAGCGGCGCTCACTGCAAGTCCGAACCTTATGAAAAACCTATTTGCAAGTCGTCTTCGACGCCTACACCTGCACTACCTAGGCAAGATCGACGGATGCCATGTCTGAGCACCTTGGCTTGCTGCAGCCGCTCTTTGCATCTCTCACAAGCAGATTTGTTCACGCGACTTAGGCTGCGCATGCAGTTCAAGGAGCTTGCATGGTTCCAGTCAGAGTCTGCGGTCAGAATGCGGATTTCGCTCAGGAGCTGGTGTAAGACTCGCGTGTTGTGGCACGCACCGGAATCATGCGATGCTTACGTGCCAAATCGGCAAGCCTCATGTTTCTTCGACCAAAGTTGTCTGAGCTGGGGAAAGACCTCCGGAGCTGAACCACAAATGTGAAAATGCAAGCATGATTTAGCCAGAACTAAGATGGGATGGCGTGTGGGGTTAGGCTGAGGGATAGAGATTATCAAAAGGTATTTAAGATCGCCACAGTGATCCCTGCAGGGTATTTGCTTTCCCTTCCTTTAAACGGATGCATCTGTGGTAAACCCAAGCTGGCCTGGTTAGTAATGCTTTCAGCCAGCACACAGCACGAGTGATGTGGCCAGCCAGAAAACCACCGGGATAAAAACGCACAGAGGCTGGGTCCCCTTTGGCCCTTTCCCGCCTACTACCTCCTGCTTCCCCAATTGAGCCGAAATCTTGAGCCAGACACGCAGTTGTCACATCACCTCATGCGGTCTTCTAAGCTGACGTTCGTCTTAGGATGGATGCGCACGGATTAGAAATAAGAGGCGGAGAATCTGACAAATAAATTTGCACAGCCTTTGATCCAGTGCAAAGAGTACGCCGTTGGATCTCCTGCGCGGCATAGTAAGGCCCAAGAAGTCCCATGTGCAGCAGTATGGAAGGTGGAGGCTGTCTTGCTCGGCAGGCCCAGGTTTGGAGGAAGAACAACAGGGGAAAGGTAGAGTTGTGACGCCGAAGAAGGTCCCCAGTATTGTTGTTCGGTGGAGGGCGCACGACATACAGGTGCACTCTCCACCTTCATTTTGCCACATTTGCCGGCAAAGGGTTGCTGTTTCGCAAGATTGCCGCCGCTCCAGAGGAAAACGTCACATTCGAAGGTTTTTTTTTCATCTTGTCGAGTTAAATGGCGGATTCCTCGTGCATGTCGAGAATCAGGAGTGGTTCAGCAAGAAGATACCAATTACCTGGTTCGTTGGCACTACAGGATTTCTTCATTGTGCTGAATTCAGTTGCAAAGAGTGTTGATTTTGTGAGAGTTCCATTTCAGAGGACCTGGAGCTGCATGAGGCCAAACAAGGGGACAGTTGCAGAAAACGACAAGCTTGAAGGCTTCGGACTGACCAGGTGCAAAACGCATCTTTTCAGCATGTTGATTCAGATTGGGTGTCTCCGGATGCGGCCAGTGTGCGACAAAACTTCAAGTTTTTCTGGGTTTCTGCGGCAGCGTTGTTGTGCAAGTCTTTCGATGGCAAACCCCCTTCGTGCTGACAATGCCACGTTTCTGTCAACTTCCGTCTGGCCGAACATGCTCATAAGAATCAGTGATTCGGCTATGCATGGCTATGCCTATGTGCCTGATTCGGACCAAAGCATTAGAGACTCAGGTTAATGATGCCAGGGGTCGACGAAGTCAATCCGTGTGCTTGGGACAAATCTGGGCGTCACTCATCAGGGTGCTACTGCATCAGCTGTTAACGGGTATAGCATAAAACTATATTTGTTTCGAGATCGGTTTAAGGTCAACAAACGTTGCACTCAGGATCCGCATTGCGCGCACGAAGGACGAAGGACTTTTTTTATCTTTCCGATTCTGCATTTTCCGTCCATGTTGTCATGGACATGATTTTTTGGGTTGACTGAGTAAAAGACAGGCGTGTGTACATACGCAAGCATGAACTTATTGAGTTTACATTGACGCATGTATTTGCTTGCAATTGGGTTTCCCCCCAAAAACGTATCGAGGCGTGTTAAAAGTAAAATGTATACAAAGCAGAGTGCCCGAATGGACAAATGTGTTTTAGAGTCCTTTCGATATGTTCCGTGGTGCTATTTGGTTTGGCAACTCAACTGGAGCCATGATCCTGCAGTGATCTGAAGCTTGTAGTGGGCCATTGCCAATTCTGGCAACAACTACTGCAAAGCTGGATCGTTGCATTTTCGGCAACTGAGGTTGTTTCGGCAGAACTGTTCTTGTTCGGAGTGTGGCTTTTAAAAAGGGCGGGTATTCTAGCGTTTCATGGATGAACCCGGTCACATTCCTTCGTCATCATGTTGATGCATCCGTGCCTGTCCCGGCCGCAGCTGTCAGCCGGGACATTCTTGCCACTGGACTGGGCACCTGAAACAGACGGATGCTGTGAAAGTTACGTAGCTGTTGCCTCTCCCCTTAAGCATTTCGCAAGACCAGCTGTGACGAAGTGACTTCGCCGCACCGCCATGTCTGCCTCACACAGTGACCGCAAGCCGCTCAACGCTGGCTTCAGGTCTGTTGAATCTGCAACACAATTCAGAATTTACTAGACTGAAGTCATGAGCAACGCGCCCAGTTTTGCTGCAGTAGCACGGCACTAGTGCTATATGAGCCAGGCACGAAAGACCATCATGAAAGCATGCAAGCCTCAGACATATTCAAATAAGCCGCAAGAACAGCTCATTGAAAAGACTACTCCAACTTGCTGCGCACCATGTGTTGCGGCCAGCCTCATCCTGACCAGCATCCCCTGCATTGCTGAACATAGCAGATGCAAAACCCGCTTCTGAACTCCAGCTGAGCTCCAGCTGAGCTGCCAGCTCAGTGTCACACAAACATCAGCTTTCCGTCCGCTCCACGAAAAAACAATCCAGGCCTGCGGCATCGCATGCAATCCAACCTCCGGAAGCCAGCTGAAAACGTATTGCTGCAATGCATTCTGGCTCTGCATATCCATGGTGGTTTTGACACATCTGCAGCTGCTGCAGTGTCCTGACAAGAGGCGGGCAAGGTAACAATGGATGTTGCTTGTGTTACAGATCAGCACGGGTATTGCGGTTTCATGAGCGGAAGGCACAGTGTTTCATTACTCCGGGACCAGGGTGAGCAATATGGCCGGACATGGTATGTGACCAAATTGTTCCCGAGTATCATATCCGCCGAAGATTCATTGCGATGAACAGTTTTTGGTAAGGCAACGACGTGCACGCCGTGGTGCCCCACAAAGCCATTGGCTTACAGATGCCCATGTTGTTGTGGCACTCGATATGCAAACCCGCAGGCCCATGCGAAGACCGGATTAGCAGCGTTCTGGGCAGCAGTTCTGAAATTGGTTTTCCGACTCAGGCCCTAGCAGCAGTAATAAAGAGCACATGCACCTGCACGTCTTAGGAATGATCCGTGTGGCTGGCAGGTATCTTGGCCTTTTCGGATATTTCCTTGAGTGGCTGCTGGAGGCTGTGGAACTTTTCAGGAGTTTGCCACATGACGCTTTTTTTTATCGAGGCTTGTCATTCCAGCGGCAAGTTGCACAAGCTTTTGCACCCCATCAACACGCCGAAGGCCACCACGTCAGCTATGTTTATGAGTATTCAAACGATGACAGCTATCCAGAGCCATGGTGCAAAGCTCGTCAACGCCTTTTGTTTGCAGTTCCACCTCTTGGCCATCACCATGGTTTTGGCAGGCAGACACTTGACCAACCTGATTCAATGCAAGAAGTAGCATGAACATTTTCCAATGGGAACTGTCTTGTTGGTTCACAATTCCAGCAGCACTTCATGTCTGTGTTGACGACAGGTCATGTAGCAGAGCATCTGCATCAAGAAGAGGACCCTTCCCACTTAATCTTATCTTGATCAATGGCTTCGAACACGAAATATTTGCAGGAAAACCACCATCAAGAGGCCGGCACTCGTGAAGATGTGGTGCACGCAAATGGTTCAACGGTGTAGGCCCATCTCGAAAACCTTCGTGCCGAGCTTCAAAAGTTCCTTGCCATGTGCTGTTGATGCGTTGACATTGATGTGTGCACTTTTGTGGCCAGACATGTCAGAGTATGTTGGCAGTGGATGTAATGTGAGGTTGCGCCACACTGACTAGATGGAATTCGATTTGAGCTCCATGGTACCCGGCCAATGGTCCCCATGCGACTCCGGTGTGCAGCATGCATGTGCAGCGGATGAGACGGCGACCCCCAAAGTGGGGGATGTTTCGTCTCCTTGTGAAGTCTTTTGCTGTCGGCGCGGACCCGAGGTTGCTTTGGCGCAGCCCCGATGGCAGCTAAAAACGTGGCAAATGCACTTCATGAGTGTTAGGCGCTGTGCCAAGCTCTACACTTTGCATGGATCCGCTTGACTGTCCAAACTGTTATGCCTGGAAGTTGGTTCAAATAACGAGGCATACAGCCGTCTTTGTTCGCGAAGCATTCCCCAGCTCTTTGCTTGAAGAGTCATGAGGTGACGGAGGTGACAAGTGATTTTTTCGTACAGATATGCAATCACACAGAATGCCTTTGCTATGTCGGGACCATCTCGCTCAGCGCAGCAGCGGTGTATCCAACTCGTTTTGCAGTTCTGTGACCTGCCGGTTCATGAAATGCTCTCGCTGGAGCTGATGAGCTCTGTTTCTTGCTTTTGCTCCATGCATGCATGTCACAGGACAGCGGAACTTCGTAGGATATTGATGCTTCAATCCTGTTCTCTACATAATGCACATGCCATCGTTGGCATGTTTCTGAGCCCCAGGCTGCATTTTGTTTGTCATACCCAGAGCAGTTGAAGCAGCCAAGAAGCTGCCTTGTCTGAGCAGAACTCACCACAGCTTCATCATTCTCTGCCAGGACAGGCTTCACTTTGGTCTGCGTACGACGTTTGGTGCAGGAGGTTATCCCAGCTGGAGGGGTGGCGGACTCAGTGTGCTGGCGTTTTCTGGAATATGGGGTCCAGGTGTCAGGGGGGAGACCAAGAATCGTTGCGTTTGTGTTCGCAGCGTGTTCGCGAAGCGTCCTCGCGCGAGCGTCGCTGCTCGGCTGGACACCCCCCATCCTCATAAGTGTCGTGGCTTTTGGACTCTCACGTCTTCGTTCGCGTGTCAATCATGTCAACAGTCACAGGGACGAAGGGCCTTTGGCGGTTGCCATCCTGGCTTTTTGACCCTCGTGTCTCTGTCGCGTAGCAGAAGTGTCAGCAGTCACCGCGGAAGTCGAGTGGAAAATGGAGTGGACAGTGGAAGGTGGATTTGAAGGTGGACTGGAGAGTGAAGTGTGTTTTACAATGAGATGAGAGTTGAATGAAAATTTAGGGTGGATGGTGGAGAGTGGAGAGGGGAGTGGAGTAAACAGTGGTGGAGTAGAAAGTGCTGAAGTGTGGAGAGTGGCGTGTGGGGAGTAGAGTGTGGACAGTTGAGAGTGAAGTGGAGACAGGAGAGTGACGAGTGGAGAATGGAGTGGAGAGTTGAGTTAAGATTGGAGTGAGAGTGGAGACTGGAGAGTGGTAGTGGAGTGTGGAGAGTAGAGTGTGGAGAGTAGAATGTGGAGAGTGAAGTGTGGAAATTGGAGTGCAAAGTGGAGTGGAAAGTTAAATGGAACGTGGTGAAGGGGAGTGTGGAGAATGGAGAGTGGAGTGCGGAGAGTAAAGTGTGGAGAGTGAACAAGAAAAGTGGAGAAGAAAGCGGACAAGAGAATGAAGTGTAGATGGATTGAGTGAAGCGTTGATGGAGTGAAGCTTTGATGGAGTGGAGCGTGGATGGAGTGGACCGTGGTTAGAGTGGAGCCTGGATGGAGTGCAGAGTGCGGAGTGGAGTGTTTTCGTCTATGTTCTGTGCATCCTGTTGTATGTGACTCGTACAATCACTGCGAAGTATGTGTCGCAGTATTTGGGTTCGTGGACTCCTACCATGTTTTCGATGGTTGAATGTACACTCGCATCTTTGCTCTTGTTGTAAGCTTTGCAATTTGATCTATTGCGCTGCGCAATGCAGGAGCTCTCGCTCTCCCATGACCGGTGCTTGCTGTCTCGCGTCGATGCCCACGGGAGGCGATCCTTTTGGAGGTATGAACCTGTGGTCAGCTTGAAACATGCCTTAGCAATGTTGCATAAAATGTGTGGAGGTTTGTTTTTCACTTTGGCAACGATTAACATGATTCCCCGGAACATAGTAAAAAGAGTCAGGCAACCGAACGTTCCGGGGAAAGCGAAAGCTGTACAAAAAGCACGAAATCCTCCTGCATCAATTTTGCATCAGGTGTATCTGCTACTCCTGCGACAACTCACGGCCAGAGTTCTGCATATCCAAGCCCGTTGCTGAGGAGGTGCGGGTAGAGACTGTGGCAGGTTTCTACAGGCTGCAGGAGAGGTCCTTGCTGTGGCAGGTTTCTACCTGTGTTTGGCAGCACATCCCAGCAGAAACGCAGGCAAAACGTTCTTGCAACACTGACCAAAGTGTACAGGGCTGATAATTCTGATGGTTCTTTCGACACTCATCCGACTTGGTTGGTTTTGTACAGTCGTAGGTTACGTATGTTACCTGTGACATGCAGGTAGAGTTGTCCAAGAACACACTCGCTGAATATCCTGGTCTGGCGTTCAGAGCTCTTCTGCGCCTGCTGCCGTGCGTGTGTTGTCCCAGAATCGCCTTGTGCTAAGAGTTTACTGTCAGGTATTGCATGTTTGGTGGCGTTGCACAAGGACAATGCTGCGTGGCCCGGCAGATGAAGGGCCGTTCTGAATTCATTCGAATGACGCACAATGCTTGCGGAAAGCAAGCTCAGGTTCACGTGTTGCCGCTTTGTTGGGATCGAAGATGCAAACGCAGAAATCACTGCGTCGAAAGTCGAGGCATGTTAGCTTGATTTGACAGTAGATGCTGTCAATGCTTGTGTCTGCTTAGTTGGAGCACGACCCAGAAGAGCTGGAACGGGGCATGCCCCTTCTGAAGCTTGGTGCCTAGTGCTGGACACCCTGCTGCCATAAGAACAATACGTCATACTGCATCGCCCATGCCAAGATGGTCAGAAGAGGATTTGCTCTTCAAAGCAGTCAGTGTGTGTGGTGTGTGAGGGCGTTGCATCTGAATCGTGAGCTCGCAGATTGAAGTTTGCAGGAAGCCCTTGAAAAGAACTGCACGAACGTGGTGTGGAAACACTCTGTACCACTGGCTGGGCTCCTGGTGAAGCTGCGAATGAAGCTGGAGAGCTGTGAGTTCCTTTTTGTTCCTTTCAGTTCTTGCTTCTGCGGCTCCTCCCTGCGTGCCGGGAGCATCTTGCAGCGGCAGCCGCCGCGCTCGCTGCCATGGGCTCAGGCCCAGGCACCAGGCATTTGACACAAAGATTTTGAACGCTGCTTGAAATAGCTGATGCTTCAACTCTTCGCCCAAGGGGACTTCCGATGATGCAGGGCTTGATTCAGGCGCGCCTGTCGGACTTTGAAGTGGCTTCTGGGTTTGGAGAGCAAGCTCGGACTGTGCAGGGGGCCTTGCAAAGGGGGATACTGCAGCTGAGTGGCCTTCGTCTCAGAAGAGATGGCCTTGGCAATACATGGACATCTTCTATGTGTGTCATAGCAGCCCAGGTATGAGGGAGAGGAGTCTGCCAGCGAAACCTGCAAAAACTTGCACGAGCCCACCACAGCTTCTCCAGACAAGTGCCGGTCACTTGCCCATCTTGCTTGAATTGAGGTTCGAATCAGCGTTGCAACTGCGCAAACGCTCGTTCTAATTTTGGACGATGCGGTGGCCACGGCCGGAGCCCCTTCGACTGATGCTGTGCTTTTGTCACAAGCACATGTTTATCGTGCACCGGGTCTCACAAGGTGCTAAGCTTCAGATGGAGAGGCCCTGCGTGATAGACAGCCTGGTTTTTTAGGAGCTCGGACTGACATGGCACCACTTGCTTCACGAGGCTTGTTTGCGACGCATTGCTTCTATATGCAGCGCCTATGTTCGGGCCCATGAAGTGGAATGCGGATCTGGGATTCTGCTGTGGCTTGCAGACATGAGGTCCGTCGGTTCCTCACGCAGATCACAGGCCGAGCCGGGTTCTCCGAGAGCCTTCTGCTCTTCTCACTTGGCATCTCATCAGGAGGTCATTAACTCGTTTCTCAGATGTTCGCACGTGCGCCGACCTTAGACCCTCACTGACAGACTTGCTCAGAAATTATTAACATACGAAGCTCACAGGCCGTGACTGGATTTTCGCAGTTACGCCCCAACCGTCTGTGCGTTTGTTGCCAGGAGCCTGATGTTGCTACAATGCTTGTCTCGACTGTGTGGCGGATTGTTGCGTGTGGCTGCTGTTCGATCCCGTCAACATTTGGACCAGAGCAGGGCCCTGCAGTTGTTTCCTACTCCTGCCTTGAGACTGCGCCGGGCAATGGCCCGGCAAGCATTGCAAGCAGAGAGCCTTTCTCTGGGCAGCTGTAGGGTGGATGCTGCTTTCCTCAAGAGTCTTCCCTGCACCATGACTTGTGGTGCATCTGATGGTTGCCAAGAAGACTGGAAGCATTGCAGTAGCTCAGGAAGGCGGCATCATCTTCAGATTTAATCAAGGCCGGAGTGAGTGTTCCTTCATGGCTGCCCGCATCTACTGGATTCGTGAAGCCAAGAGACATGTAGTCTAGACGGCAGCATGTGCTGCAGAAGCGGAGTACTTCATTGTAGGCTCGGCTGAATATTAAGAGAATGCAAGGAATCAACGGAATCAACAGAAAATGGTAAGATGCAGAGACCGAGGGTTCATAAAGCAATCAGTAGCAGCAGACAGAGAAGTGCGCACAAGCCGTTTTGTTTTTTCAAATGGCTTCCCGCAGCTCTCAGAGATCATCTCGCATTAGCTCAAGCCCGTAGGAGGCATCTGCAATGGCAGAAACAGTGGTGATCCACAGAGATGACATCATCATGGAAGGCTTTTTGGTCAAACAGTCGAGACATCTGAAGGAATGGCGGCAGAGATGGTTTGTTCTCACACCGCAGTACCTTTGCAGTTTCAGAACACAAGGCGAGTACAGAAATCCCACGGAGTATATTCGCTTGTCTGAATGCTCCACTGTGCGATCGGTTGACGATCAGACCGGAAAGGAGAACTCTTTTTGCGTCCAGTGCGACAGCAGAGCCTTCTTGCTCATTGCTGCCAAGGCGGAGGATAAAGAGCTTTGGATCTCGCGCATTGGCCGTCTCATGATTCGTCGGGCTGTCATGCTGGAGGATAACGATTTTGAATGATCCTGCTGTATAGATGATTTGGTTAACGTGCGTGAACCAAGCGCATGGCCGTTTTCCCCTCAACGGCTAAGGAGCAGTTGAGGACTTCTGTATATAGAAGCCGCGGTCCAGGGCTTTGCCTGGACTGCTCGACTGGGCAGCCATAACACATGGTGCGTAATTTTGCGGAAAGGTGTGTTGTGGTCTTATCGCAGGGCCACTCATTCAGCGTTCGTTGATGCTGGTCAGGTGCCGCCTTGTGATGGAGAAATGACCGTGAAGGCCAGTTGCTTCTTTGTTGAGATTGACACCTCTGATTTCGTGAGTGGTGCCATCCTGCCTCATTTTACACCGCTGCAGAAGAACTTGTTTCGAGCCGAAAGAGCTGTATGAACCTTATTTTGTTGCAGGTCACGAATGGAGAAGTGCCGGGCCTTGTGTATGAATGGGGCATCCAGGATGTATCCGCAGATGACATGTGACCTGTTGCTGACGGGCTGCTTGTCCTTCACACCCCTGCGCCTAAACCAATCGCTCAACCTGACCAATACTGCCAACAGGACAGTTGGGAGCCCATTCACTTCATGAAGGCGCCGGCATTTGTGCACAGATGTCAGCCTAATGTTAGGTTCATGGGTCTTCCATAAAGTCCCATGCTGCAAGGCCAAGCTCCAAGTGTTCAGCTATGCTGACATGTCAGTGAAGAAGCTTTCGCGCTACAGGACGAGATTTATTATGAGCGTCTTGAGAGAAGGTGCTGATAAGCAAGACGAGGGAGGTGGGTCGCTTGGCTCAGGTAGAGAACCCCATTCTGCCTGCTTGAGACCCGTGGTGGGAGCACGACATGAGAAAGGGTCGGGACCGGGACATGCTGGGAGAGATGTTTCGGGGAGCTTTGCCTCAGAAAGAGGAACATCTCAGTGAGCTGAGGATGCTTAGCGACAGAGTATGAGGAAATCTATGGCCAAACTGGCCAACAAGGCCACAGAAAAGCCTTGCAAAATGACTCAGGATGCCGTGATGGCCTCCAGGTGCAAAGGGAAGACCTTAAGGAGTCTCAGACACGGGCGTTGCTGCATGCTCGTCGGCCTCCGAGCCCTGAAGCTCCGAGATGTCCCTCAACAGCAACGTAGCCTTGATCGGAAAGTCAGCGAAGGGAATCGTAGATGAGTTGTCATGGAGCCATAGTGGCCAAGGCAACGGCTTGGGTTTGGGGAGGCTGTGGGGAGGGGATGGGGCAGGGACAGGAAGCAGCAGAGAAGGCCATGGGAAAAGCCTCAATGTTAGAATGTTGGCAGCCATGCTTTGGATGTTGTCTCCATAGAGTTGCAGGACTTGCGTCAGGCTGGTGCCGACCGTGGTGCAGTTGTCAACGGGCTCTCAGTCTTGGGACACACAGGCCATGCGAAGTTGCCAGTGCGGGGCTTGTTTCATGCTCGCATCCTCCAGGCCAGCAGACGCGGCTCGACGACTTGGCACGCTGGTGCAAAGACAGACAAAGTCCTCCCAGAGGGTTTTGAGGCCCCGCTTCTGTCTATATGGATACAATGTAAGCAGACCTGAAATCAGTGCCTGTTTGCGTGAGCTTGCGTTTGCAACCCCCCTGCCCAACTAATGTATCCTGGGGAGGCTCGCGGATAAATTAATACATTCCGGGCGTATCCTGGGGGGGTCTGTTTTGAGAAGGGCGGGTCGAGGAAAGGCAGCTGCTATTTCTGGTGTGATGTGTTGGCTGAGGGTTTAGGGTTTAATAGGGCTTAGGGTGAAGGTTGAAGGTTTAGGTTCCTAAGAGGGATCCCTGCCACACATCTCCCGTATAATCTTACAAAAGACCTTATAATTGTAGGTAGCTCCTATATGCAGCTTTCGATTCGGTCCTCATAGCGTACAGCGAGGTCCCTAATTTGGCTACGGGTTCTTAGGAGGAAGCCCCTAATAGGGACCCCTACTATATATCCCCCTTATGTTCTTATATAAACCTCCATTATCCTATTTGGTCCCCATACGGTATAGCGGGGTCCCTATCAGGGGTGTATCCCTGAGTTTGTAGGCATAGAGGAAGCATATCTCAGGGGCCCAGTCCAGGATACATTACCATTTGGCTACGGGTTCTTCGGAAAAGCCCCTAATAGGGACCCTTACCATATATTCCAATTAAGTCTATTCCTATATAACCCCCCTCTCATCCTATTCGGTCCCCATAAGATATAGCGGGGTCCTTGTTTGACCTGTAGGCATAGAGGATGCGTATCTCAGGAGCCCCCTCCAGGATACATTATGATTTGGCATGACCCCTTCCTTAAATATTGTTTCCAGGGGGGGGGGCTGCGTCTGTATCCGGGCTCTTGTGGAAACATTAGGGGGGAGGGGGAATATGTTTCCAAAACACGTGGCCCCCTCAAATGGAAACATTTTGCTTGTGTCTCGGTAACATTTCACATTCCTGGTCGTTTATCTATTTTGCTCGCCGTTCCCCGCAAGCTGTGATTCGATCAAACTGCATCAAAAGTCAAAGTGCTGCCCCACTCAGCTTCATCCCGCCTTGCCCTCAGACTGGAGCATATTCTTAAACGAAAATACTCAAACTTCATAACTTTATGGACCCCCTGCATTGAGGCGTTGTATGGTGGTGCTCGTGCTGGTGAAGCTCTTCAAGGCACGAGGTGCCCAATTCTTGCGGCGCTGGTTGGTTTGCCTTGGTCCGGCAGGATTTCTGTGGATGAGGATGCGCTGGCAAGCGCTTGGAGGCCGGGAAGGCACGCGGCTCAAAGTTGGGTTCTGCCATGTTCTGCCACTGTCAGGGTTTTATCTTGGGTTAAGGGAAACGGAAGTGCCGCCCTCCATGAAGGAGGTGTTGCACTCAGGATATCTTGCCGCCCTCCGTGTGGGAGGTGTCAGGTTTCGCGGACCGTCCAGGCATCGCCTGCGAACCGCCCTCCGAATAGGAGGTGACCATCCGGAAAGGAAGGAGACCCTCCGAACAGGAGGAAAGGCCCTCCGTAGAGGAGGAGCTTCAGATGAAGCCTCCGCAAGGAGATGCCTCCGTAAAGGAGTGTTGGTTCCCTCCGAATAGGAGGAGACAGGTCTAGAGGCGGGTGCAAGGGAGTGCGAGTCGAGTGCGCAGGGGCCCCATAACTAGATGAAACGTGCCAAGTAGAGAAGGCACTCGGAGAGTGGTAGCACCCCGCCATACCCCGCCCAACCCTTTGCCCTCCGAAGAGGAGGAGACAGGTATGGAAGGTGGCGTCGGACTAAGACTTAGAGGGTATCCAGGGTTCAGTGAGCCAACAGCATGTAGCCGCTGACATGCAGACATGTGCAGACATGATCAGACATGATTACACGATTTCAGACATGCTAGATGCAAGAGTAGATGTCTCTCAGTATGTGGCAGGGGATGTCGCCGATGGATTCCGAGATTTCCGATCTGCCGTCTGCGCTTGGCCCTCAGCATCCCTCAGCGGTCTGCATCAGTCTGCCATGAAGGTTGCAGGAGTTTGACATAGCTTGAGCCAACGCGTGCTGGCATTCGCGTTTCTGTTCAGAGCTTGGAAAATCTTGGAAAGGTTCGGGTATCTTGATCAAAGGATGTGGAGCTAGGAAACATCCCACAAATCCCCAAAACATCCCAAAGGTTCGGGTTTGTTGATCCAGGGATGCGGCTGTCATATGAAAACTCGGAAACATCCCCAAAGTTCCCCAAACCATCCAACATCATCCAGCCCTAAAAAGGTTCGGGTATCTACTTCACTTATGTAGTATCCAGGGTCTCGGCTTGTGCGCGTCTGCCATATCCACTGCTGATTCCTCCTGGCATTTCCTGGCACATCCTGGATCATATTCTGGCATTCTGGCACAGCGCCGTACAGTAGGCTTCTTGATCGCGCCGTGGCGCTCCGTATCATTGGACCTCATTATACCTCATTGGACTTTCTTTTTCTTTGCCGTGTGGAGGATCCGCCTTACCTTATATTCGGCAGAGATTGACGTTGACCACATTTTGTTGCAGAACCATCGCCCTTGCACGTTGCTGGATTCCCACCTTTTGTTGCCCCGTTGCCTTTTTTTGGCTTCGCGCGTCATTTGGTGAAAGATGGCGCCCAAGAGCAATCGCGAGTGGGCGGAGCACCGGAGAGCCGAAAAGGCTGCCAGGGAACCTGCCAGAGAAGAGTGGCAGCCAGTGAGAGAGCTTCAGCGGCAGAGCGATCAGCTGGAGGGCGTTGAGAAGAAAGCGTTTGACAGGAGCAAAGCATTCCGACTTCTCACGCGCAATCAGAAATTGCTCCAGGAGCTGCGGGTCGACTATGATCGTCGTGGCGTGCGGCTGGCTGATGTGGAGGCGTCTACGCTCCGGAAGGACCTCCGGCACGCCGATGCGATTCACTCGGCCAGGCAGGGCGCGGACACGAAGCTGCGGCAGGCGAACTCGCAGCTGAAATTTGAGCTGGAGGGAGCTCAGGGAGAGCTGGAGGCCCCTTGACATATTAGCGCACCTTTGCCTTTTCTCCCGATCATCATTAATATAATATATTCAATGATCCAAAAACATCCAAAAAACCTTGAACATGCGTGAGCCATCTGCCTACAGCCCAGGCCCAGATGCGCTACAACACTCGCTTGAGGGCCGAGAAGGCAGCTTTGGACACCAGGACCCAGGTTCAGGAGACGGAGCTGAAGAAGAAGCGACAGCGCACTTATGAACTCGAGCTCGAGCTTGCCGAGGAGCGTCAGAAGCGTCAGATGGAGCATCTCAGGTATGACATGAACGCATCTAAAGCGTCCCGCCCATGAGTCATCATGAGTCTTGCCCTTGGGTGCCTTTACAATCCTTGGATCTGGCGTGCTATATCCGCCATTGCTTTTGCGTCGAGCTCTACGTAGCTTGCATCCAGCCTTTTGGCATTGGGTCTGACAGGTCAGCTCTGCAGACAGACCATTTTGGCCATGTACGTCCATGTACCATATCCTGCATAGGTGCACAGTCCCCCTTAAGTAGATAGAATATGGGGTACATGGTGATC